TGAGTCTGCTGTAGTTGGTGTGAGGGGATAAGCGTTTATGCGTAGGACGGAACTTTTCGGAATTTTACGGTACCTACTTTCGTTGCGGGACCTGCGACCATACACTTCTGGCACATTGCATCTACTTTCGAGTGCGCTTTCTTCCGGATTCGAGTGGATTGGTGGGCATTTGTTATAAAGATTGTTAAGATAACATAAATGGAACGTTTCTCATGGGGATATTTCATCAACAGTTTCAGCTGAAGTTCAAGACTCAGAGGTCTCGCAACAAAACTAAGTACTGTGGTTTTTTTTGAAAAATTCTATCCCCACACATAATGGCTTATTGTAAGGGGCTGTTCCGGTTGCGATCCAGCTGGTGTCCCTCCACAAGCCCTATCGTTTGCAGGAATGTTCACTGTAAAAACGGTCAGTAACACACTGCGTACATACCTGCAATAACTCGACGTCCTGAACCTCCTGCCTAACCCTTTGTCTTGCCAATTTTGGCGATGAGGTAAGGTCATCAGAAGCGGCAGATGCTGCTTGCTTCAAGTGCTTCAGTATCCTATATAGTCTCTTCAGGGAATCGTCGGAGTCCGTTTCTGCCAGAGACTTTGCTCTACATTCAAGGGCTGCATATGTCTGGAATGAAGAGGATTTTTGATAGAAGGGGTAAAGACAAAGTTCCTGAGAACTCACTCTCATAATCTCATTCAATTTTCGGTACCGCTGCTCCTTTCGGCGAATAGTCATAGAAGTCGCATCGGTAGAGTCTTCACACGGTGGTTCGATTTTATACTTTTTTGATACATTCCAGAGATCTTCTCTTGAAATGAATGACAATTTCGTCTTCTTTTCGGAATCTTCTTCTCGGACGAGTTGTATAACCTGACTCATAGAATGATCTGAAAACAAATGACGTTAATGACAACAATGACACTGCGTTCAGGCTTCGCGATCGCGCGAACAGCTAGACAATGCACCGCCGCAACGGCATAATTCAAATTTGCATTGCGTGAACGCGGCTCTAGTTCTGCCGTTGCGGCGAGATCGAGCGATTCGATCGCGCCAACGCGAAGTCTGGATGCGGTCTCAGGCTGCAGTCGGGTTATCTATACCTTCAAGCAGAGTCTTCAGATATTCCTGTTCTTTCGTGGATAAGTGCAGCAAAGCCGGATCCAGCTCATGACCGGCATGACCAAAACACCCTTTGACCTCTACGACACCGTTAACGCGGTACTCCACGTTCAAAAAGCATGAACAGTAGGGGTGGGCTTTCCGACTTTGTCGAGCCCTCAGTTTAGCTGTGTTAGGGTTCTTTCCTGCGCGATTGCACCTAAGCCTAAAGCAGTGAAACTTTTAGTCGCGTTCAGACTTCGTGATCGGATCGCTCGTTGGATCGCGCGACCACGTCTGGCGCACTCCACTGCTAAGCGGTGCGCCACCGCAACGGCATAATTCTAATTGGGTCGCGTTCACACACTGCCGGTTTGAATTGCGATGTTGCCGACGGTGGAGGGCCCCCTGTTGTGGTCGCGCGATTGCTCGAGCGATCCGATCGCGAAGTCTGAACGCGTTCTTACAGAATGGATAAACGCGAAAAGTATACCGCAGCCTTATCTTCGTTCCGGATTTTGAACGATCCTTCGATCTTTGCCAAAATGCAGTACAATTCTTCTTGCATTCCTCCGATAACCACTGCTAAACTGCTAAAAATTACTATAAAACCTTCGAGACGAATAGTAACTTCAAAAAACCTCATATTCTTGTTCGTTTCCCAAATCTCTTCAGGAACACCGTATAGTCCTGCGGTTGACCGTTGGCGCCATTTTGTGAATGCTGCTGTGAGCAATGGTTAGCCAGTGCTTCTTGATCTGCAATCCTCTCATTGCAGACAGGGCAGATGACGAGAGAAGATGCTAGTGCCAGTTTGTTTTCGTTCTTCATTTGAAGGCACTGCTCTTCAGAGTATTTGTGGCAAGCCCTCAGATGTCGGTAAAGGCTCTTTTTATGTATCACTAGATCACAAACAGGACAGTTGTTGCGACTAGAATGCGCCATAGCATAATAGGCAATTTCAGGCAGCGTTTCAAGGTATTTTGATTGACATCCGATAATTGTATTTCATAGAACAGCAGCGCGTTAATGAACCACGCTCTGGTACGTGAAACGGTGGGAAATCTACAAGGAAGTTGCGGTCCGTTATCTAAAAGTACCAAAGGACGCTGGGTGCAATCACGTACTATACGCAGTTACCGTACTCACGGTCAATATTATTCCGTGTCGTTCTCTCGGCGCACACATTTTGGTGGACAGTTACCGAGGATCGCAGTTACTGATAGCGCTCTTTCTCTCTGAGGAATTTTCGCGGCGTGCCGGCCCAGCGTTTCTCTAGAAAGAAACGCTCCTGCTAAAAGCATTCGATATCTGGCGGTTGGGCGAAGAGTCTGGCGGTTGGGCGAAAGGGTTTTGATACGAATCGACGGGCGTTTCGCCAAACCGCGACGTTTTTCGCCTTCGCGAAACGCTAGCTCGACCGCCCTGGCGTTTTTCGCCAGCGAAATCGATACGCATCTATTGCTTTTCGCCCAACCGCCGTTCGTCAGGGTCGCAGACAGTGAACAATGCCTTATTCCTCCTCTTCACACCATGTATGCTTTCTTGTAGACCAAACACCTTCTGCACGTTGTACGTCTTTAAAGCTTAAGCAGTGCTGTTTGTTCTGGATTGCCACCAGAACCTGCCGGTGCACCCTTTTATGACTGCTGATTGATATGTATAACCATAGGCAAACTTGAGACATGTGATTATGACCCGTAGGTAAATAGTTAGATACTCGATGCGTGACCTCTCCTGTATTGAGAGGCACGCCTAGATTAAGTCAGCATTCTACTACCTGACGGTCCGAGACCACCCCGTCTCGGACCCACCACTATCACCGAGGCCACCCCGCCTCAATAAATCCATTACGACACGTGTTCTGGAATGCCTCCAGAACCTTCATCAATTATAAGTGTCATCTAGACACAGTGAGGATATTATGTGAATGTGACTTAGGCCCCTAGCAATGTATTTATGACCCTTGGTGAACAGATTAGATAGACCAGGCGCAACCCCGTCTGTTGTTTGAGGGACGCCCCTTTTTTTGTGAGCATTCTACCACTAGCCGACTCACCGAGCAGTCTTCAATAAACGACTGCAACACCTATATACTGTGAACACTGTTAAGCATTTCATTATTCTACCCTGTCGGGGTTGAATCATCTTTCATGGACTTGTCAGGAACACTGGCCTGTACAAGTAAGGGGGGGGGGATGTGGTTCACTACCATGGGCTCCCCCAAAACTGCGTGAAATCCTCGAAATCCTCGTCTTTCGCTCCACGTCATTCCCCTTGTGCCACTTTCCATCTTTCCCCTGCAAAATATTTTACCCTTTTCCGCTGAGCCTTCGCTTCTTCTTTCATTGTTGGTGACAGTTTGGCACCATAACAGAGATTTCCGATAAAAACCAGAAACCATCACTTCTTGCTTCAGGTGCAATGTGCAGAACAGTTTACATATTACTCTCCTTATTTCTGCTGAAAGTCTACTCAAACAGGATGAGCTCAGCCGTGAGTGGAGCCAGAGCGAACAGTCGTGCGCAGTAAGTTTCAGAAACGAGTTCCTTGTCGTAACAACTATTTTTTTCTTCGTCGTTATCATAACCATGAACTATTCCTTTTTACCTTTTTAGTATGCAAATTGAACTCGCAAATTGAACTAAGTTCAGTGGCGCATTTGGAGATATTCACATAGTGTGTTTTCGTTCGTACTCAATGTTTTGTTCACGAATATGACGTAAATTTTTTGCGCCACTGCTATTGCACGCAAAACTTCTTGGCGACAGGTTTTAACGACTTGTCGGTTCATTATCGGTTA